AGACCTTTGTCTGACATTTAGAGCCCTCCACAGTCTGGCTCCATCTAATGCTTCCAGTTTACTACACATATTTCCCTCCATGCACGCTCTAGTTTAGCTAAAATGATTTTACTGCCCCTCGTGGGGCAGCTAGGTGGCAAAGTAGATAGAGTTCAGGGTCTGGAGTCAGGAAGACTTACTTTCCTGAGTTCAAGTCTGGCCTCAGACACTTACTAGCTGTGTGACCCTGGGTAAGTCACTTCATCCAGTTTGCCCCAGTTTCCTCATCTGTAAAATGAGCTGGAGAAAGAAACGGCAAACCACTCTAGCATCTTTGCCAAGAAAACTCCAAATGAGGTTACAAAGTTGGATATGACTGAAAACTACTGAACAACAAAAACTGTTCTTCATATGTGGTACCTGATTGCCTCTGTCCAGACCTTTACACTAGCTTTCCTCACATCCCTGGAATGCACTCTCTCTTGACTACTTGGATTCCTTCTCTTCCTTCAAGGTGAAGGTCAAGAAGCAGATTCTACAGGAAGCCTTCCTTCATCTTTCTACCTACCAGTGTCCTCCCCACCTGAATCAGTCAAGCAATCGACAAACATTTATTAATATCCTATTTTATGCCATCATCCTAAATTCTGGGGACACAAAGAAAGGCAAAAGACAATCCTTGATCCAAAAAGCTCCCAGTCTAATGGGGGAGAGAAAATTTACAACAACTTACAAATAAGTTATATATGGGATTAATTTGAAATAATCAATAGAGGGAAGGCACAGGAATTAAGGGGGATTAGGAAAGGCTTCCTGGAGAAGGCAGGCTTTTAGCTGGGACTTAAAGGAAGCCAGAGAAGCCAGGAGGTGGAGATGAGAAGTGAGAGCATTCCAGGCAAGGGAGTCAATCAGTATCTATGTTGCATGCGATCTATATATACACATATAGGTATACATTTATAAGTTAATATATTTTATGCATACATGCATGTACATATGGGTATGCATATGTACATGCATATGTAAATATAAATACACACTTATACATATACACGTTATCCCCTAATAGAATGGAAGCTCCTTGAAGGTAGGGATTTTTGTTGTTATATACACAGGCATTATACCTGTCACACAGTAGGTTTGTTGATTGATTAAGTGACTTGCCTGCATCCAGGGCCATCTCCAGTCATCCTGATTGATATCTGGCCACTGGACCCAGACAGCTGCAGAGCAGAAAGTGAGGCTGGTGACTTTGCACAGCCATCCCTCACTTAAATCTAGTTCACTTGCCAGTCAAGACATCACCTTCCTGATGTCATTGGTCCTCTTCAGGAACGAAGGACAAACAACTACAAGTGAGTTGTCTACAGTTCCACAGTTAGTAAATGAGAGAAGTGGAATTCCCATTCGGTGCTCTCCACTGGACTAGTGTAATGACCTTCTTCTATTGATTTCCCTGCCTCAAGTCTCTCCTCTCTCCAATCCATCTTCCACTTCAGCTGCTAAAGTAATTCTCCCAAACAGAGGTCTGACTACATTACCCCACTACACAATAAGCTTCAGTGGTTTCCTTTCACTCCCAAGCTCAAATATTCAATGCTTGATTGGATATTTCAAGCCCTTCAAAACCTCATGCCTTCCTACCTTTCCAGTCTGCTTGACACACTCTATAATTTGCCTACACGGGTCTGGCTTACTTGCTTGCTGTCTGTACCTTTCCACTGGCTACACTTTCCCCCCCCCCCCCCATTCCCAACCATGCCTAAACTGCTCTGTATCCTTACAACCGCCTGTCAGCTTCTTTCCTGGCTCCCTCCAAGACTCAGCTTATTGCACCCAGTGATTAATATGTGGTCTCCTCCATTAAAATTTGAGTTCCTTGGGAATTGTGACTGTCTTTTCCTTTTCTTATATCTCTAGTGCTTAGCACAGGGCCTGGCACATGCTAAGTGCTAAATAAATGCTTGTTGTTTCCTGTCTGCTGGCCTAATTGACTTCAAGCTCTGTGCTCTCCCCACATCACTACACACTGTAGAATGCCTTCCCTTTTCTACTTTACCATAATGTGACGTCCTCCACTTGGATTACTATAAAGGGACCATATGAGTCACACCTTCAGTGTGGTGCTAGCTCTATCCAGGAATGGGGCATAAATTAGTCCACCAGCCTCTTGCAATTAGGGATGGGTAAAGTCCCATTTCATATTCAAGTCATCCTACATTTTACCTAGAGTTCTCCAATTACCACCTCTTGCTTAACCCATCCCAGTTCCAGAATATATCTATGGTACAGGTGAATAGAGTGCAGGACCTAGAGTCAGGAGATCTGAGTACAAAACCAGCCTCAGACACTTAACTTGTGCATAATCCTGGGCAAATCATTTAACTTCTGTCTGCCTCAGTTTTTTCATCTGTAAAAAGGGGATAATAATAGCACCTTCCAGAATTGTTGTAAGGATAAAATGAGGCAATATTTTTAAAGTGCTTTGTGTTACATACATGCTAGCTATCATGTTGTCAATTGTTCATCACTAACTGTCTGTATCTCCCTTTTCCTTTAAATGATTTTTTTTTTAGTGAGGCAATTGGGGTTAAGTGACTTGCCCAAGGTCACACAGCTAGTACGTGTCAAGTGTTGGGTCTGAGGCCAGATTTGAACTCCGGTTCTCCTGACTTCAGGGCTGATGCTCTATCCACTGAGCCACCTAGCTGCCCCTAAATGATTTTTTTAAGATGTGGAAATAGCTGTGGTTGAGAAGATGGGTGGGTTGTGAGGTCCTTTCCTCTGTTGAAATAGATGCTAAATAGTCTAGTACAAGGCCTCTCTTGCTGGTGACCAGGTATGCTGCCCAGCATCACACTTCTCAGTTGACAGGACAAAGGAAAAAGGAATTCTTTCAAGTTTTCCAAGGTAATGTATCAGAATCACAGAATCACAAATGGAAAAGAAACAAACAATAGACACAAAACTATTCCAAAAGACATAAGAATCCTTAGGGTCAGAGACTTAAAGCTGAAAGCAATGGCATCTAGTCATTAGATATTATAACTAGCAGTGGCATTAGAACCTAGAACCTAAAATAGAACCCAGAACATCCAGGTTAGGGTGGGGGGCCCTAGACCTAGGATACCTGCCCCATTTTACACTCGAGGAAATAAAATACTAGAGAGATGACATGCTTTGACCTAGGTCATAAAGGCTTTTTAGTGACAGAACAGGCAATTGGCATTCTCTAACATTCTTACTCCAGCACTACACTCAAATGCTTGCATACGTCACGGCAAATCACCACTATGTTCTAAGTGTGGTACAGGAAAACAAATCAAAACTAGAACTCCAATAAGTGCATGCCATCAAAATTTGACCCAGAAGTACTGGAGGCATTGACTCCAACCATTTCTCATGACCATTTTCCAAGTTCCATGTCTGAGTCTCTCTCAACAACTGGGAGGACTCCTTGGTATTTGAATTTGCAGACTAAAAATAACAAACCACCATTTTGGGATCTTGTTGAAAGGTTCCCTCCCCACCGCTTGCATTCATGAACTGCTCTAAATGGATCAGCTTGCTGATGTTAGCAGTGATCTGATTGCTTTTGACAAGAGTTAATTTAACATCTGCAGAAAGTGGACTTGTAAACCGTAGAGCACTTTCCACCCTGTTTCATCTACAACTCCCAGATAGAAAGAAATCAACCATCCTGCTAGAGTCTGCATGTTAGAGATGCTTGTGTTTAAACAAGCACATTGTTACAGTGAAGAGTGAAGTATTTACTCATTGGGAAAAATATTTATGGTTTTCTTTAAAGCTTAAATGGGTTTGGGCTTCCAATGATTTTTCCTGTTAACAGTTCACTGTACTTACCTTTCATCTTGAATCCCCAAAATGAGTGCATAGTTATGAAGCATAATCAGATTATTTTTTCAACAGAATACTTGTTAATATAATCTCATCCTAGTAACAGGCAATTGTCCAGAGCAAGCTTGATGATTACTCTCAATGCAAAATGAAAACACACACACACACACACACACACACACACACACACACTAATAAGATTTAGCTGCAGTATCTGAAGAGACCTTTCACAGTCCTCAGCATAAATGCCTGCTGAAAGAAGGCCTGGGAGTGTTTAGGTTAAATATCCATTAAGGCTAATAAAAGAACTTGCCATTCTTTCTAAAGAGGCTGATAAATCTGCATTAGGTGGAAGAGGCTTTATTGTACTCTGAAAGTGGTTTGGCTTCTGCTGTGCAAAATAGAATGGACCCCAAAGAGAAGGGAAACCTTGTACCTTCAGGTGGCATTTCCAGGGAGCTTTGGTAACATGGGTGTTTTCAGTATGGGTCTTTGATTATAGCTGGAAGGCACACCCTGGACATCATTTAATCTCACACATTCAACTTACAGATGAGAAAACCAAAGGCCAGGGAGGTTGCCTTTACTTGCCCAAGGTCACAAAGGTGGTAGAGATGGGATGAGAGGACCATAGATTTTGAAGCAGAAAGGATCTTAAGACCGGAGAGTCCAAGCACTTTCTTTACAGATGAGGAGAAGTGAAACCCGGAGAGGGGGAAGGGTTCTTTCATGTGAACCAGAAGAACTGTGATCAGAGAATCACAGGCCTCTGTGGAGGTTGGAAGGGAGCTTACGTTCATCTAGTCTGAACCCTAAATTAAACAAAGGTGGGCACTGAGGCTGAGAAATGAAGTGACTTGACCAAGGCAATATAAGTAATTTGGGAGCAGAGCCAGGATTCAAACCCAGGTCCCCAGGCTTCAAAGCAAAGACCTTTGCCCAATATCTAACATTGCTTTCCCTGCAGTCTTTTGACTCCATATTCAGTGGACTTTTTATTCACTATGCTGATTCTGTGTCCCAGACGTTGGTGGACCTGCTATTAACAAACAACCTGAACTAGACAACATTTGGAGGAAGGGGGGAAAGCATCCTATTTGGCTAGCAAGGTAAGAAGTGTAACTTTGTAAAGGGGTTCTTATTCTTCCCTTCCAAAGACTCACCAATCGGCATCACTAAGAAGAAAGGGAGCCAGCAGAGGATGAAGCAGCCCACCACGATGCCCAGGGTTTTTGCTGCTTTCTTCTCCCGGGAAAACTTTAAAAGCCTCACAGAGAAGTGCGTCTTGTTCTTGGAGCTCGATGCAGAGCTGCTGGCAGAGGGAGCATTCTTTCGATGGATTCTCAGAGTCACCTGCTCTGAGTCTGACTTATCTGTCTTCAGGCCATGCTTAAGGCCCTTGCTTTCCCTCTTGGCCACCACGTACACTCGGCAATACATCACCAGGATGATGGCCAAGGGGATGTAGAAGGATCCCAGGGCTGAGAAGAGCACGTAGCCTGGCTCTTCGGTGATCTGGCAGATGGTCTCGTCCTCTGGGGGCTGCTCTTTCCAGCCAAAGAGAGGTCCAATGGAGATGGTCAGGGAGAGGGCCCAGACACACATCAAGGCCAAGAGTCCTCTTTTCTGGGTCACGATAGTGGGGTAACGCAAGGGGTAGCTGACCCCAATGTACCTGTCAATGGAGATGATGCACAGGCCCATGATGGAGGCAGTGCAGCACAGGACATCGACAGCTGCCCAGATGTTGCAGAAAATTCTGCCGAACGCCCAGTAGCCAAGGATCTCTAGGATGGCTGAGAAGGGCAGCACCGTGGAGGTGAGGAGGAGGTCAGCTACAGCCAAGTTGACGATGTAATAATGGGTGACAGACTGCAGGTGCCGGTGGCAGGCTACTGAGAGAATCACCAGGATGTTTCCCAGCACCCCAAAAAGGATGAGTCCTCCCAAGATCACACCCAGCAGAATGGCCTTGGAGATATTCACTGGCTCCTGGGCGTGGGTGCAGTTGGTGCTGTCCGAGGCATTCTCAGGGAGAAACACCATGGTCCCCCGGACACCACCTGGGCAAAATCCGAGATCTTGTTCTAAAGGGTCACAGTACAGCTCGATGGGGGGTGGGAAAGCTTAGTCAGGTGATCAGCCGATCAGAAGATTAAGTCTCCTAGGAGTGCAGAGGCTTGGCGTGGCTCACACCGACGAGATGGGCTGTCAGAAGCAAACCAAACTTAACTCGGAAACCCACATGAGGCAGAGAAAAACAGAAGGCGGTTCGGGAAGGCATGGTCAGAATTGCAGGACCTTCGGCCTCTGGTCCCTCCACTCCGGGCCCTCGACTCCTGGCCCCACCCAGCTGAGGCCAGGGGGGCTGGGGGAGCTAGCTTGTTAGCCACAGCACCTTCCAAGTGCGAGAGCTGCCTGTTCTGAAGGAAGTCCTTATCGTGAGGAAGGCATCTCGAAATTGGGAACTGGAAATGAGGATGGGGAAGTGGGAGTTAACCTAAAGGAGATTCTGGTGCACTTCACTTTCTAACTCTCTGGGGGAAGTGAAGATTCACTGTCCCATAAAATAAAAGATTTAAAAATCAAATAAACGAAATCTACCTCGATCCCCCCCCCCCCCAAGTTAGCTAGTGGCTAGGCCTTTCACTATCCCTCAGTCTCAAGGGCGCCAGGTCAAGGTCAAGGGGTGTGTACGGCTCTTCAATTCCTGCGAGTTCCTTCTCCCCAAAGACAGCAGGACTCCTGGACTCATTTGGAGGGAAAAGGAGGTGGAGAAGGAGCCCCTCCAATCCCCCGCCGCCCCTCCTGGGACCCTGGCCTCATGGCATGTCCCCGATCCGAGGGTTGAATGAGCAGAAGAGGAAACCCCGGAGAAGGCCTCGGTGGTTCCGGGGCTGTAGGCGGCTCGGCTCTGTTCCCCAAGCCTCCTGGAAAAGACCAGAGAGAAACGGAGGCTAAGTGTGAGTAAATGCAGGTTTTTGAGGCCGCCCGGTCAGCGTTCCGGGAGGACGCCTCTATTTCTTGGGAGCCTAGCGGTCAGGGTCACCTTAATCCCACAATCCTTGTCTCTCCTCACCCCCCCCTCCCCTCCCATCCGCGGGACAGAGGAATCTAAGCGCCCAGATTGTCCCCTTTCACATCCTCTGGATCCTAAACACCGGCGTACGTGCTCTTTTCTCCTGGCTCCGTCGGGAAGCCCAGATTAAAATAGTCAAGTCAGCGTACCCCATGATATTGTTGAATTTGCCCCCCACAGAGAGGGACGTGAAGCCCCGACGGCCCCTGAGAAGTCGCTGTTGGGGAAGTGATAAGAATGCTGTCTCTGGAAGGGACCTTATGGAGATGCTGCACCCCCCCCCCCTTATTTTACAGGGAGGGAAACCAAGGTCCAGAGAGGGGCAGCAGAGAGGGGAGGAGTTCAAGGTCACAGAGAGCAAGTGAGAATGCAGCCCTGGATCTCCCCTCGCCAAGCCCAGCGCATTTTTGACCTCTCCAAGAAGCTAATACTAGCTAAAGGTGGATTCTGCCAACAGGTGCCCCAGCATTCAGCTACTTAAAGAGGGAAAATTGGGGGTTGACGGGACCCACTAGGATGAAAAAAGGGTCTGGCCTCGGAGGGAGACACTGAGAAGTCCGAACCCCCAGTCGTATGCGGCCCACTCCCGCAGAGGACCCACACCCTATGAATCCGGCCGGACGCTGAACCTGAGCAGTAAACTGAGGAGCTGCATGCAAACCCGCCCGAAGGCTTCCTGGGCCGGGCAGTTGCAGGGGTGGGCAGAAGCCTAGCAAGGTGCATGGGACCTCTCTCCTTCCAGAAGGCAGAGGATTCTTTCCCCAGCACCCAGCGCAACCTGTCACTAGACAATACAGCTGTCTACACTGGTCTCCGATCCTGCAGGCGACAGGGACCCCACCTTCCCCTCCCCCCCTCCCAAGCCTCGGAGCGGACTCCTAGTCGCCTGCACAGTGGCTGAATGTTTACAACTGGAGAAACTGCTGGCTAGACAAGAAGAAAAACCCTACACGAGGGAGCCGAGGGGCGCTGGATGAAGGGGCTCCATCCACGGCTTCCTGGCCTGGGGGCGGGGCAGAGGGACAAAGACCAGGCGCTGGGAAATGGCTAGAGACTTTAAACTCTGCTGGGAAAGAAGCGCCTGGGAGTCACCTCGGGGGGTTTCTGAAGGCCTCTCTAGGGTCCAGGTCGGGACTCAGAAACTGAAGTCCTGACTTGGAGCTGCAGACCTTCGGGTTGGGATACAGGTGGAGAGTGATGGACGAGACTTCCAGTCCCAGCTCAGCCGTTTACTATCTATGTGACCTTGGGTAAAACACTTCAACTCTCTGGGCCTCAGTTTACTTATCTGTGAAAGAGGCAGTTTGAGCTGGTTGATCTCTAAGGTCCCTTCCAGCTTTAGATCTGTGATGCTATGATCCTATGCCCGTCTTGGTCATTTTCTCAAATTTTTTCTTCTCCATTCATTTTGTACAAATACAGCAAAGGTGTGTGTGTGTGTGTGTGTGTGTGTGTGTGTGTGTGTGTGTGTGTAAAAC